TGGCAAATTGTCAACATCCCAACTTCTTAAACTTTTTAAAACTTTAAAGTATAAGTATATTGATTTAAAAAAAAATAAATGGATATTTTTTTGTTGACAGGCCTATAATGCAGTTGCTCTGAAGAACACACCTGAAATAAATGAGAAGCTGCGTATTATTCAGCATTTAATTCGTATTAAACCAGTAACATTTCCATATGGGCTCCCTAAAGATGAAGATGATTTTAAACACTGTTACCTTCGTGAAAATGGAGAGTTTGTTGTCAGGCAGCGCATCCATGATCAGAGTGATGAAGTTGAACAGGCTTGGGCAGAGGTATAAAATGTGAACTTATTACAAGACAAATATGTATTATGGGATTATAACTTCTGTGGTATTAACCAAATAAATGCTATTTATTTATTGAGGTATTTCATTGTGATGTATCCCACACAGAAACAAATTTTACATGCTTATATAAGAAGTATTTTGTGAAATACAGTATGCACCGAAACTAGCTTTACTGAAACTCCTTCATCTTGAACACATACTTGCATTTGTCAAGGTGCATAGCTCCAGCTGCCACTTGACCCTTAGAGGGAAAATGATTGTGTGTTTCGTTTCTCGGCGCCTATGCCAAATTCAGGTTTTTACCAGGCCCCCTGTGTTAAGTTCAAATAAACACACTTCGAAATAGTGAATACATAAACAAAATAAAGGTTGGATAAAAATAAATATAACACGTATGTAGGTCATAAGGCACCATCTAGTAACTGCAAACAGTAATTGCTCAAGTGGGTTACTGTTTGCACCACCACCCATAGATGTCACATTAGATTAAAAGTGGAAATAAAATTATAAAAATTTTGTAATATTTCACAGTGCCCCTGTGAGGAAACTGCCGCAACCCATATAGAAAAATATGGATTTTCTTGGTTCTTTTATTTTTCCGGTTAACCCCAGTGAGTGCAAAAATGGAGAAAACTAGAGGATGCATTCTCAACTGTTCCGCACTGCAACATTAGATCTCAACATATTTTATAGGGCCTTTGTTATCTTATTTAGAACTCACAAAGCAGCTGCATAATTTTTAGGGTAATAAGGGTGAGAGACTGATAACAGGTTAGCAAAATGGGAAATGAGTAAAAACAAAGTGAGGTCAAACCTGAAAAAGCGAAATGCAACAAAACAATGAACGTGTCGGCAGGAAGCCTTCGTCAGGGAACAAACAACAGAAAAAACAGAGTTAAAATTTTTTTAAAAGCACTTAGCTGAGAGGTAGTATCAGAGAGGGAAGCAAAAGAAATGTGACAGAAAATAAGTAGGTGAGAGATTAAATAGGGAAAAGGAAAATAAAAGAGGAGAAGTTAGTCCACTGCAATAGGTTTTGACGTGGAGGGGCGGGGCTTGGTTCAAACTGTGAAAAGAGACACGATGTTCATACCATGTGGTTTCAAGGTTACATAGGTCAGGATAAGCTTGTGTTCCAAATTGACCTGGCTAGGTGTGTTTGTGCTATTCACAATTTCACTAATTGTAAAGTCCGACGTGCCTTTGTGGTCGCTTCTATTGAAGTGTTTAGAGACGGGAAACTGTTTATCTTGCATAATATTACAGAGGTGTTCAGTACACCTGTCAGAGAGTCGGCGTCCTGTCTCCCCTATGTACGACATCTGGCAGCTTAACTCGACCCCACTAGACACGTGCTGCGAGTAGTATACATTATATATACTGTATGTTTATTTATTTACTACTAGCCATTATACCTGGCATGGCCCCGGATTGCATTAGGACCCCAATCCCTGCGCAGCCCTGTTTCCTGATGGGACCCGGTTCCCCGATGGGATCGCATAACCAAAGCGTTCCAGTTTACTGTTGAATCTCCTTCCACATTATGATCATGTTCCTCTATGGGATCATACTCAGTGCGATTTATTTCGAATAAGCTTTTAGATACCATAATATATCCCCATAGAACAACATAGAGCCTTCTGGAACCTTCTAGATTAAGTTTAATATCCTTCATGAAACGTGTCAAAAATTACTTTTCTACGTAATTATTTCTAAAATGTGAAATATTATACAACTAAATTGTATTACTATAACTATTGTACATTTAAATTGAAATAGAGGCCCCGGTTGGGGCCCATTTTAGTTATGTCTGAGATAGAGGGCCCTATAAAAATCATTCAGATAAATTATGGAGTTAAAATAAAAAATTTGTCCCATTAAAATCGGTTTAAAAATGCCAAAGTTAAAGCTTTTTTAAATTATCGAACTTTCTAGAAATTTCTAGATCGGCCCTGATTGCATTGAATTGAATATTATTAGTTATAAATCCACCGATATTTCAATATGGACAATGAAGTGTTTTGCTAGGCCTATATACATCAATTCACATAGAAACTATAGTGTTATCTAAGTGTATTGATATGATTATGATACTGTATTGTATGAGTTTAGGAGTTCGGGGGTAAACAGTCTGCATTATTGAAAAACTTACTGGTCGATCAAACTGCTTTTGTCGTTGACACTACACTTCTACAACTGCGAAAATTTTGTAACAATAGATAGCATATCTGTGTTACTTGGTGACAAATTACTCAATCTCTCTTTGAATTGTTCAGCCACCTTTTTGCAAACATTGTGCCACCTTAATAATCGCTACTTACAAGCAAAAATAATGGTCAACAATGAATATTTTTTCCTCCATCCCAAGACCCATTTGCAAAAAAAACTTCCCAACAGAATATTCCTTTTCACTTCTTGGAAAATGTGGCGGCTGGAGCTAAGCACAGCTGACCATTGCACAAAAATGTTTAAGATGTGGAAGTTTCAGCACTCATACTTTTGGGGCAAAATTTATATTAAGATCCTATTAATGTAGTAGAAATAGAAATGAAATTTACTGTAGCATTGTTTATGTAGAATGATCAAACAGAAAAACAATTATTGCAAAATTTAATCAACACTTTTAACAAAAGGAAAGATTATAGAAGGTATTTCACATTTCTTTTTAGGTTAGAATGGTCGAGGAGGAGTCAGAAGAAGAAAACATTTGGAAGATGGACAGAGATACGATTGTGAAGGAATGTGATAGAGTTTTACAAACATTCAAGCTCAGTGAGGAATATTTTAGAGAGAAATATATTTACAAATACAATCAAGATGGCAAAGAACACAGATATACAGGTGAAGATAACATTGCCAGCCAAAGGCAGGATTGGTATTAACTTTCAGTTAATCTCAATTTATTTCTGTAATCTTCATTATGTATCCATTTCAATAAACATATTTTAAAATTCTATTACTGATCGTTAATTCATTACTTTTGGTATTGTGGTCACATTACAAATGCCTTTCAGAAAGCAAAAAATAAGAATGCTGCTAATTTAAACATTTTCCTAATGTAATAGTAAAACAACGTATGTTGAAGCTTGAATCAAAAGACAGGACAATAAGATTTGGGCGTTTCAGCTTAGACTTAGAGCCTTCCTCAGTGAACAGGACAAATTGAAGTACGGCAAGAAACAGAGCACGGTAAAAAAACTTTAGAGATCTCCTTTGTTGTTGCTGGAAGTAGGATTACAGGAAGTGAAAGAATATAAATATTGGTACTGTGAAAAATAATGTCCAGAATTTTAACGGACCAAAAATGTTTAGGGATACATGAAAATAAAATCTTAGGAATAAGAAGAATACAAGGAAATTGAGAAACACATTAGTAGGAGAGTATTTAATTAATACCATGTGGAGATATGGTGCCGAAAAGCTGAATAAATTTGTTTTCCATTTTAACTCTCTCTGGTGTGATTGTACAGGAAATTAGTGCCTTGATGGATACATCTAATTCTAATGTACCTTACTTTATGTTGTTCTCTGTTGAAATGTGAAGAGACTGGAGATAGTTTACCTTGTTTAATATCCCTAAGATGTTATGTGAACCTATCTGAATCTGCCAATCTTCTCCCAGTTTTGCCTATATAATTAGAATTTCATCTATGGCACACAATCACATATACCGTATCATATTATGACAAACGCATGTGAAACCCTCTTTGATGGTAAAGGTACCTTTAGGCTAGGGAGGCTATTGTTTTTGGTTTGGATTGTATAGGGACTAGTCCTACTTTGGCTTCTTGAGCATGGTGTAGTCCCAGCATAAGGCAGGTCAGCTCAAAAGGCGACCGTGAACCAGAAGGTCACCTAGATTTATGTCCAGTCTGAAGACAATAAGTGAAGGGGATGAGAATATTCATCTATTTCCTAATGTACAGTGTCCCGACATGGCTATAACTCACTAAAAATGAAGATAAAGGTCATACGGGAAATACAGGGCTGAATAAATACCAGGGGCCTAGGCATGCTACTTCAAGAGGCATAAGGAGCCTTTTATTTGTGTTAAAGGGAGCTGCAGACTCCTTCATGGGCATGGAGTGGATAATTTACAATGCCATGGAACTATTTTTCACTCTGAGATATACAAGACGCTATTGAGGAGATGCAAGCCATTGGTGGTCTAAACATAGCCTTGCGAAAAATTTGGAAGTGGTCAAGTGAGAAAAAGTTCTTTGGAGACACCTGATTGTAGCCCAAAGCAGTTTTATAACTTCTCAAAATCTTTCTGGCAACTTCTGTTGTTATGCCCAAAGTACCAGTGGACTAACCAACACTCTGGGAGGTCAGAGTTTAATCATGTTTTATTGCAGCATCTAGCACTCTTGGACTAAACGACAACAGAGAGGGGGGTTCCAATGCATCATGATGGAGGAACCTTGGATCTATATTCATGTCCATTCTTCACGTTTCTAAGAAAAGGGAGATAAGGAAATGTGTACCTCATGGAGACAATTCTGTCACAGACTAGTAATATGTTCATCATACTTATACCAGTAATAAAAATTAATCCTCTATTGGAAATTGGCACTATCACAAAACTTTTCAGATAGCTTAAGAGTGTTCAGATACCGAATGGTAATGTCCTTACATATTTGGGTTTTTAATATATATCATATCACTGTTAAGATATAAATTAGGTTTGCAGAAAATGACTATAGACAAGAAAAATATAACTATAACAGCTTTTAAAAATATTTTATTTTTTTGTCAACAACACCAAATGACATACAGTGTACAGGCATTTAAAAACAAAAAATCTTAAATCTGAACCCTGAATAAATGTTTACAAGAAATATTTAAGTTGATCTTGGTTACAGTAAGTCTGTATTGATTTTAATCATGATTTTTTTCATGAAGTATGATGAAGTCCAGAAAATATTGGATCACAACTGGATTTATACAATAAAATTTTGGGTAACAATTATTTCCCCTACTTAAGTCTTCTTAGTAATTTTAAAATTTAAAAATAAACCGGTATATACGGTAAACGCCGTTTATTATGATCATGTTTGTCAAGTGATTATCATTTCTTTAAATTTAAAGAGGTGATTCTAATACCGGTATCCCAAAAAATCTGAAAAAAGACCATTCATATCCATGCAAAGAGTGAATACATTTTCCATGAAAGTTAAAAAAATAATTAGACTGAAAATTTATTACAAAACACCATTGAAGTTTTCTCTAAGATTTTATAATTATACTAATTTCTATAATCACCACAACCGCTATTACTCATGCCCTTCTTAACTGTTATAACTTCCTATGTTCCTGGTTACTGGGATTGGTTTGGGTTTATATTCAGTACCTAGTGCTCTTCCATTAGAATTTACTAGAGTATCTTTTAGTCAGTTCATGTTGTAATAACTTAAAACATCATCATCAATGTTGATCCAATCCTGAAATTGTCATTAAAAAAAAATCTTATTTTGTTTGGGTAATTTATGATGTCCATTCCTTTTGTGTACCGACCGGGTTATCGATTCTAATATCAGAATGTGTGATTCTTAAAATTAATTTTATAGAAATTTATTATTTAAAACAGTTTTTTGATATTTGATTATATGAAGCGGCTGATTCTGATAAAAAGTGATCACAAAAAATTTCATGAACTGTGTATTATTGTTATCATCATTATATAATCATAACAATTACAATGTCGAGTATAGCTGTAAAACATTACTTGAAAGTACTGACTGATAAAGTACCTGTAGTAAAAGTATTACACAAAAGTTTAGAAATAAATACAAATGATTTTCTCAAATAGAAAATTTATACCAAAAACAATTATATATTTAAAATATCCACCGAAGGGCAAAATATGTAACTTTAACATTGTCACCACATTAAGGGGAAACAATCATTCAGGTTCACATTGAAGGAGTTGTCATGACATCAATAGACTGATATGTTTCTGGAAATTACAATATGTCAACATCAGGGTTTAGTTTTTAACAAGAGAGTACTTAAGCAACAGGTAAAATGAAAATGAGGAGGAAAAACACCTCTACAATGATCTAAACATATAAAGTGATTAAAAGATGGCTAAATTAAAATTATATGTAATAATGTATGAACGTATGTAAGTGAAAAAATTTACATTATTAAAACATTGTTCACAAAAGCAATATTGTAACCATAAAATATATTTCAAGTGCCAACTTAAGATGTTATAACTATATGGTAGCAAATTTATAAAATGTAAGTATGAAATTTTTTTTTTTTTAAATTAATGAGGATAGATAAATTTGTGCAACCATTGAACAGGGATTATAATTGTACTACTTGACATATCTACATATCATTTTAATTTCTCTCATTAAATTCCCATATGCCTGGTGTGATGTTTAGCTTATTCATTTAGTTTATACAATTGTTAAAATTTCCCTTGAATTAAATTTATATATATTTTAAAAATTTATATTACCCAGTGGCATTGACATATTGAAGAATATGCATTTGTAATTTTACAACTTCCACAATAGTATATTTCTGAAAGGTAAAATCAATGTAATTTATACTTAAATTACACCAGCAAGATGGAAAAGACATGGTTTATTTTATAATTCATCTCGTAGAAAAATTTATTAAAAATAAGTGAACTTAAATACTGAATGTTGTAAATTTTAACTGTTATCAGTTACAAAATGAATACAAAAACGTAAGACTTATAAGGTATGACATAGATTGGCCCCCTGACTCTTTGAGTTAATACTTATTTATGCCTTTTAAACATGCACAAATATATATTTCACTAATATGTGGTTGCATTGTCTTTGGTGTGACTCAATAAGGATATTTCCCAGACTCCACCTAAAATACTTATCCTTATGAGACAGCAGGAACTAGCTTAATAAATATTTTTATGACAGAGTTCTTAAAAATTTGTATAAAAAGAATTGATTATTAATACTATTACTATTCCATATAATTTTCCATATGATGAATCCATTTTTATTCAGTTTTGACTAGTACAACTAAATGCTAACTATCATTACTATCAATACACAAAAAATCTAATAAATTAAACCACCCCTATTTTGTTTTCAAAAATAATTTTTAAAAGATTAACTGCATTATGAGGGGGGTAGAGACTGCTTGTCAATTGTTGAGACTGTTCATGATGACACAAACATAAACCTGTAGCATATGTGAAAAAAAATAAAAATATAAAAAAAAAGTGCATTACTTAGGGCAGATTCCATCAAACAAGTTTAGTTACTGAACAAAACTCAATAATAAATAATAAAATTGTCAAATAAAACAGACATTCTTAATAAGTTCTTCAAATCGTGTACTCCACTCTAAGAATCATTCTATTTCTAGCTGCCCTATAGTTAAATAGTAAAGTAAAGGATTTCTCGTCTAGTGAAATTTAATACCCAACACACTCCATTGCTTGCATTTTGCATTTACAGATAAATTGAGGTACTAGTAGTTGAAATCTTTTCCCTGTGCAATGTATGTTTTCAAGGCATTGATATTATGAAAAATATTTTAAGAACAAGATTAATAAGAACAGTTCTCTACAACTGAACTACCGAGTGCACTTGAGACAATTATCAAAATGTTTCTCATTACTGACCCTAAATTCATTAAAAAATAAATGAAACATGATAAATACAATTAAAATATTTCAAGTGATCGCAAGATGGCATAATCAGTTATATATATAAATATAAATATGAGTCAAAAAAATGTAGATAGAATACAATAAAAAAATCAGGGTTACAGGACCAGTTCAAAGATAAAAATACAATAAGGAGGACAATATATGACACATTGCTTTACTCCCTTGGCGTTTTTAAAAAAGCATATAATATAAAATAACAATTGCTCCTAAAAAAGACATTCATTTTTTTTAAACTTTACAAAGACTTCTCTTTGTGCTACAGAAATGTATGCTGACACATAATTTCTTTAATATTTTAAATTGCACATAAACTAAATAAAGCATCTTTTGCCTATTAAGCGTGAACAAAATGAGTATTGCAAACCTGTTTACCCTCAAACTCTTAAAATCGTACAATATCATCACAAAATCTTTCAATACCTTATATTTATAGTTATAGTAAAAAATAAACATACAGTATATATAATTTTTACACCTCAAAATCGTATATTGTACGCCAAAATCGTAAGAGTAAACAGGTCTGGTATTGTAAGCAGAGCAAGCTTTTGAGGCATCTCTCATATGACATTATTTATAAAAGGCGGAGTTTCTTTCATGTGAACATCATATGGAATGATCTGTTGACTTCTACTATCTAATTTATTGCACATACACAGAGTGAAGTGATGGAATTTAACTTAATAATGACATGATGAATATAACAATCAACTTTAAATTTGATTTATGAAATCCATTAAAAAAAAAAAATTCCACAGATATAAAACGGGTGGTAAGGATCGTAACCAAAAAAAAAGAAATTCCTGTTTTAATTGCAGTTATTTTGTCAACAGAAGTGAACGATTTTGGCGATGTCAAAAAATGAAATATTACTATGTACAGTGGAATATAGCAATAATGGGCATTAAGATCAAACATGGTTATGTCATGACCCACAAAGTTTTAAAATATTTAACTTCATATTGGGGGATGAGGATTTGAAGATAATATTACATAGCTCACTAAACATCCATTCAATAAAAATGAAATCAGCTGTCTTTCTACTTTTGAAAAATCCCAAAGCTATTTGCAAGGAATCAAGGCTGCTCATGGGGCCGCTTAGTATGTGTAGGTGAATAGGCACCTTGGGCCCAATTTTTGTACATTAGTCATGAATACATCTATATATTCTGTAAAAAAATAAACTATATTAAAACCTGGCATTTAAAACTCCGCTATTAACGCCATCAGATGTTATGAACCCCAATTATCACAATGACAAGATTTCACTGTTAGTCATCAACTCACAGAACAGTAGAAAATAACGCAAGATTTTTGCTAGTTCTTACATGAAATTTTAAAAACAAATATTTCAACAAAACCACTTGAAATTACATTCTTTGTCCCAGAAATACTTACAAAGTATTATTTCACTTTGATTTAAATCATGCTTAATGAGTTGAAATTTAGATAGATGTGTTATGTTTTACAGTACGAACAGTACCTATAAAAAAAATAATCTATCACATTAATGATGTTATCTTGTGTAAATTACAGAAAAAAATAATAAAACCTTCAACAGATTATTAATCCAATAGAAAAAAATATATATCCTTTTTTATAAAGTAGCAAATAATGACCAAATCAGCTTTGACTGACTCTTAAGGCCTCATAAAGAATCCACCACAAACATTTATTTAAATACTACGGCAAAGTAGTAGAACTCAGCTTTCATGAAGACGTTCAATATTCTATGACAAATCATTCCATCCTAGATTCCCTTTCTTTCCCTAGTCTATTTGAACTTAAAAAAATAATTTAACAGTTTTCAGTCCCACATAGATTGGCTTGTGTGTGCCCTTGCTAGTTATCATTCATTTATGCATCCTCTGCTGCCTTTAACCTTTCATGCTCAGGACTGGCTGGCGGTTTATCTTCAGCTGGGACACTGACAGTTAAATCTTGATATACCCCCGCATTGCGGGCAGAGGACATCTGAATTTGCATCTTTTTCTCCTTATCCATCATTAAGGATCTATAAAAATATATAAGATATTATGTAGTAAAGAAATTAATGTGGTCTAATATTTTTTTTATTGAATATCAAAATGAAATTTCTAACTATGTACATAAAAGTTCATTGTAAAAAACTAACCTTTTCAACTCAAATAAATATTAACCATTGAACCAGTGTGCTTTTTTTTTTTTTGTTTTTCACAAAATGTGGTATAACTGCATTCCAGCAACTATTTGCTGCGGAATTTAAATTAAGTTAACTCATGTATTTATTTTAAGTTAAACAAATGATAGTTCATTCACTTTTTTTTTCTTAAACCAGTGTGCTTTTTTTTTTTTTGTTTGTCACAAAATGTGGTATAACTGCATTCCAGCAACTATTTGCTGCGGAATTTAAATTAAGTTAACTCATGTATTTATTTTAAGTTAAACAAATGAGAGTTCATTCACTTTTTTTTTCTTACAAAAAAAAAATAAATGAATAAGTATTGACTGAAACTATACACAATATTTTTTTAAATTTGGACTATCACTCCCAAATTTTCTATATCTGTCATTTTAAGAAGAAAATAAACATTGTTAGCCAATATAAAACTACAGCTCTATTGAACTATTCCAGTCATTAAAGTAAGATTTATAGTTAATTTGTAGCAGGCATCCTGTTATTATATTTTTTGTAGTTCATGGTATCGGTACATGGAAGAAAATATCCCATATTTTTAACTCTAAATGGTCTTTTGATTTCTACAACCCAAATCTATGATACTCAACAAGTCCCACAAAATTTGATAAAACAATTAACGTCTCAGCAAAAATAATTATAAAATACCTTTGTAAATAAACTTTAAACCGTGTTACAAATTGATATGGATCAATAATTCATTGTCAGTTACTAAGCAAACTAGGGATATGTTAGTATAGATTTTTTTGAATATCTGATTTTAAATATTAATTTCTAAGCAGGTTATCAGTATTTACAATGCATTCCCAACTGTTAAACAGTAAGCTCTGGTTGACATATTTCATAACAGCGTATGCAAGAATTTAAAGTATATCTATTTTTAGAACTGACAGCTACTGTTCAATTTTGATACCACAGTTTAGTACTAGCGCTTCACCTTGTGAAGCAAACGTGAACAAACAAAAGTAATGATTAAGTGGACAGAGTGGTATCTACTTTACCAGGTGTTCACAAAGAACATTATCCCTACACTTGTGTCCAAACTTTGTAACTATGCTTGCCATTTAAAATGAATTGCTCGTTGAACAAATGTGTCAGACTGAAGTCCACTAAGCTGGACATGGATTTTGACCATGATTTTTTTCTAAAAGGCAACCTTGTATAACATTCTACGCGGCAATCTTCTATTTTTAGAATGACATATTACAATTTTTAAAAGCTTTATTTGAAAAAAGTATTTTAAAAATTTGACTACAATTTTGTAAAAATTAACAAACAGCTTTTAGTAACAAAACCTATAACCAACAATCCAATTATCATTTAACTAACATCCTTTAAACTATAGCTCTATCAAACCGCATTTAATCCAGCAGGTTATTTAGGCATCCAAGCATGTCAAAATATGTAAGAATATAACAGCTCTACAAAAACTTGAAGCTATCACTTACTGTCTTCTTCTCTTGAAAATGTACACACCAAATACGACAACAATGCACACAACAACAGCAATAACTGAAGCTGCTACAACAGCACCTGCAATTTGAAAGACTGATTAAGTTTTATTGCCTACCGGGTACGTACATCTTAAAGTTAAAACAAATTCATTAAAATATTCTGTCCCACTCTTGGAAATAGTGATATAGAAATAAAAATAGTTAAATGATAGAATCTAACACTTTAAATTTTTTTTAGTATAGATAGATATTTCAGGGTGTTTGAGAAATGGTTCTCTAGAGGTACATTGTCTGGAAGTGCAGTGCTATGCATGGCGCGGGTGCACTGAGAGACATTTCCTTATAGCTGATTCAGCTTTTGGCATGGCATATGCTTACAGATGCAACTATTAGAGATGATTTAATCCATCAAATGATTAAAACAACACACCTTATAAAAAGGTTGTTTTAAAACTGGGATTTTGTCCCTGGTCCAATCTCAGGGATAGGCCTGACTCTTAAAAGACAACTATGGATTTGCCAGGGGACAAGCTAAAGTTTTAAATATATCACCCCAATAAATAAATATATTCACATGGAGGATTAATATTTTTGGCAAAGAAAACCACATGGACAGTTTTTCTAGGCGCGAAGATATTTGGGTGGGTCATGAAAGGGTTGATGCCTATTCCCACCATTTTCTCTATTTATTGAAAATAAACATACAACAAAAATGTTAATAATCTCTCAGTCTAAATGTGGAAGTACTCAATATAGACCAATGCTTTGTTCTAAGAATTGTTAAACTATAGCAAATGGCAAAATATGATTTTCTCCAAAATTCTTTATTTTTTCATACATTTTTTCAGCACATATGCCTATTTTTCTCAAAGAAAGAATGCTACATATTTTATACTACTATTTCTTTAACTTCAACAATTGTAAGACAATTTTTTTTACTATTTATTAATCCTTTAAAAAAAGTTATTGTAGATCAGTAACTTCATCAATATATTATGAATTATATTATGTTAAAGAAACAACCACAAACCTGTATTGGCTTTACTGCTACCTTCTCCTCCTTTTTCAGTTGTGTTGGCAGTTATAGTTATATTTGAACTCTCCACCGATGGTTCTCCTGTAACTGAAAAGGAAAGAATATAAATTTTAAAAATATTTTTATAAAACCTTTAGAGCAATACATGCCAAGTGATACGGTTTACCCAGGGGTAGGTAATCTTTTTGTGCATGGAACTTAGTGGGATGCAAGATAATTTACTAGTAAAATAGATTTCTGGTTTTAATATACGTCTTTGAAGATGGTCTATGGAATTTAATTTTTAAAAGCTTTTACAGATAATTCACAATTGATAGATTTTATGAAAACATTAATCCAGTTCCCAGAAGGTCTTGTGTAGGCCACCTTTAAACAATTCAGCAGGCTGCATGTGGCTATGTCGTCCACCCCTGGGTTTACCTGTACTTGGTACAAGTTTTTTTTTAACCTTTACTGATTTGTATGGCCATACATGGTTTTGAACGAAAAATTGCACAATTCATTAAATATTTTAAACGGAATATTTGTTTACATTTACATCTTATATTTATGGTCAAAATGATGAAATCCTATTGCCCCATTGACAGTGACATTTGGTGTGGGTAGGCTATCTTTAAGGTAAAGTCTAAGCATAGAATATGGGGTGCTGTGTTTAACTGCACATTATTTAGCTGTTCATGAAAAGATAGCATAGCCAACATGGGGTTTGAGAAAATTTAATGGCAAATCCATTTGTCTAAGAACTACCAATGTTGTATTCTTATAATTATGATTACTATTAATTTTTTAAAAATATAGTTATATATTATTAGTCTTTAGTGACATGCATAATGTATTTTAATGTGTCATATTATCACTTTCTAAAAGTAAACTCAGGTGATTGCAATCTTCTTTTTTGTATAAATTAATGAAAACCAACATCAGTGAAAATTATATACTATATATTTTTTAAATTTGTATTATTTTAATGCGCTGGAAACTTCTAATGGAAAGGCATATTTAATTTAAAAAATGGAAAGTTGGAATTGGAAAGAGACATGCACTAGGGAAGTTTCTTAGTGAATGGTTGACAGAATACCCTGAAATCGAAGATGCTTCTGGGCATTTCATGCGTTTTGCAAAAGAAACATTAAAGTACTTGCTTGAGGTTCTTACGTCTTAAAAACACATTTAAAAAACAAAGATGCACAAAAAACGATGTTGAGGCCATGATGGTAAATTTTACCTCATTTAAAGAATTTTTTAATGGTGAAACAATCACACAATAATTAGACAGATAAATAAACACTATGCATGCAAATCCATACATTATAAAAATTGTGTAGCGGTGGCTGGGATTGGTGCTGCCTGGGGATAGCCAAATATTTTGCGGCCCCCCTGTACGAAAAAACTCTAGAGTCTACAGCCTGTTGAAATTCTGCCGTCCATGTAAAAAGGGCAAAGTTTGCATTAACTCTTTCCATGCCAGGGGGTTTTCCACGTTCGTGCCAGACCAGTATTCGGCCAATGGAAATTTTTTAGGGTGCTCCTTTCTATTAATTAATGTTGAATACATTTTTTTTTAGGAAGATAGCTGTATTTCATATCAAATTAAAGGAAATTAGACAGACAATAATAATATGTAAAAGATAAAACAATATACCGGTTACAACAATAGTTTAAATTTTTTTGGTAATATTGTGAGATCAAATTTTTTATATTTTTAAAATTGCGCCCCAAATCTGAACTTACCAGACTACCATACGGTCTGTGTAGCTGATATCCTATTCTGCTTCAATTTCAATCCTCAAAAAGTATATCCATTTTTGATCATAATGCATTTTACATTTTGAAAATATTCTATTTTGTTACAGAGTTAATCCCATTTTTGTAACGTTAGGAGTATTCTTATCTGAATCCTCACCGTTGCCATAGTAACAAAGTGGTTTTGAACAAAATTCATAACTTTTGAGCCACTTGAGCTAGAAAGTTGATCTGGGTGTTTTGTTAATCCATTACCAAGGCTCTATACATCCGTGGTATTTTTATTTAAAAAGTGTTTTGAAAATTTTATGGAAGTACCAACAGTCACCACTATTACTATTACTATCGCCATTCTTTTACTATTTCCATTTGGCATTTACCAGCCCATCAGAATGATGAAAATCATCATTTGGAATCAGATTCAAACGATTCATGGTTATTGTCTGTTGTTTCAGCATCAATAATTAGCCATAAAAGTTCTTTTGTTGACTACCTACATGGTATTGCAACCGCTGACATGCTTGGAGTGGGCATGGCCATTGCTTTGTTTACAAAAGGTTCAATACAAATTGAACTAATATTTGAAAAAACATGTGTAAACATGCCCTACTTCTAACAGAAAGGAAGTAGTAAGAGTTATCCTTCGTTTAAGAACAAAAAAAGTCGGATTGGTAGCCGCAGGAAACAAAATAAACTACATAAATCATTTCAACAGTATACTGTGGATTGGCACAAACGGGACCAGTCAAATAGACAATAATACTGTGGATTGGCATGGAAAGAGTTGATATTCAAAACAATAATAAAAATAATAAATATGATAGTATTAATGATAATAATATTATTATTTTGACTTTTCATTTTTGTGTAAATAGGGCCTACAGGTTTTTTTAAAACCGTTTTGAGGGATTTAGTCTAGTGTATAAGTTATGTTTTAATTTCGCAGAATAGACATGTAAAATGTAAGGTGCAGAGTCCTAACTCAACCAACTGCACAAAACTAAAGCCAATAAAAGCAGCAAACTCAAACAAAATTTTCAATTCATGATTCATGAGTGCATGATTGGCTTTCTAACTAACAATCAACAATCAATATCATTGTTTTTATTAAGAAATCAAATGTAAGAAATCAAATGTATTCATTTTTCATTTTAATATTTTTTTGGCAGCGTCTATACGTCCGGCGCACCGGATGTATATCTACCGCACTATTTGTCCGGCGACCAAGTCACATGACCGCCGTAACAAAGTGGCGAGAGATATTTTGTCCATCAGCCTTGTCACGTGGCCGCAAATGATTCAAAACTATTGTTAATTTTAAAATCTATACTCTACCAAGTAATGTACATTTTGCATGCAAATGATAGAAAAAAACTGAAGTGAAAGTGGCTTGTAAACATTTTTGTTTAGTTTGTTATTTGAGTTTGTGTACCAGCAACCCATAATATAATTAGGGGCCAGTATTCAGTATGGAGTAGGCAACCAATAAAAGTAAAATATTTTAAATTGTAAATTAAACATTTTAAATTGTTTAAATTGCTAAAAATATTTTAAAACTTCTCATAAAACTACTGTTGCTGATGAACATGGTAATATGAATATAATATAAAATATTTTCAATTAAAATGGGGGGAAAAAAGGGTTCCCATCCGGGGAATCGATCTACAAATATAATTTCGTCAAGCGGCCACACTACCACATGACCACACAAGATCTTCTTAGTTCTTAGTAGTTTTTTTCGGAATAATAACGCCTACTAGTCGTCCGGCGGTCACTTGACATGCTCGCCGGACATATATCTCCCACACTATTTGTCCGGCGCGCCGGATGTGTAGACACTTCGTATTTTTTTAATGGTTTTTATTAATTTTATGCCCATGGGCCATACCTTTGTCAGATGATCTTTTCATGATAGTTCCACTAGCCAAAACAGCTTGCATTAAAACTAAACAAAAAATTACGAATGCTTTACATCTTAAAATTCTAGCAAATTTTTTGCACTGTTGAAAGAGTTCCAATTCCATGTTTGTGTAGTGATCTGCTTATAATTCCTTGACGATTGAATTAATTATATCACCAGGACTGACACTAGATTGCTTTAGCTTAATAAACTAATAAACTAGTAGTTTGTTTAACTGAGACGTCGAACTTCGTTGACGTTCTGTAGTAGTGCTAGTAGCGTTAGTCGTTACTCCAACTCTAGACTCGCCCTCGATTAGCCCTGCTAAAGTTGTCTGTTCTTCTGTTGAGCAAGTTGTTGAGGCCGTGGCCAATCTGATGGTCAAAAGTATCAGAATGATGTTGTTTTAAAAAACAAACTATCATAACTTATTAACAAATGCTTTATACTGGTTTTCCACTAATAAGCGTACATATATATATATTTAGACTTAACGCCAACAAGTGTTGACATGAATAGTTTATTCTTTGTGTAATGAAGGTAAGCAAATTACGCGACACTTAAAAGATGATGTCATTTCCGTTATGCGCTAAAAGTTTCGGTTAGTCATCCAAATCCTCCACCCCCTTTTTTTTTTCTTCTTTATTCATGAAGTTTAAAAAAAAAACCCTACTAGGTCTACATTTTCAAAGCCAATATCAGATGGATAATATCAGATGTGTTGAATTGTAAACATTTAACACTGATTAATTTAAATTTTATATTTCATGAGTATGATAATTAAAAGATGATGTCATTTTCGTTATGCGCTAAAAGTTTCGGTTAGTCATCCAAATCCTCCTCCCCCTTTTTTTTTTCTTCTTTATTCATGAAGTTTAAAAAAAAAAACCCTACTAGGTCTACATTTTCAAAGCCAATATCAGATGGATAATATCAGATGTGTTGAATTGTAAACATTTAACACTGATTAATTTAAATTTTATATTTCATGAGTATGATATTGATTTTTTGCAATAATTATAAATAATTTCGTAATTTTGCGATACCGGTAGAAGGAAAGTCGATTTTCCAATTTGATTTGGCAGCAGTGCGGGGGAAAAAAGATCTAGACGGGAATAGGGCTATGGGAAAATCCCTTAATTTTTAAAATGAATAATTTCAAGAATGCCCGTGACTTTTCTTGGAAGAATTGTAAAGGGGGGGGGGGGGGGGGGTTGGGAGAGGTGGGGGTTACCTAACCTGAGCGGATTTTTTAAAAAATATAGATGGGTCATTATGATTTTTTTCACGTTAATAATCTTTAATGTTTGTCAGATATTGCAATACAAATTACACATTTCACCTATTATTAATTACTTTTATCCTACCGTTGGGACTATAGAGGCATATTTTTGTTAAAAATGAAACAAAGTTTTTCGTATAAATCCTTTATAAATTGTAATATCGAGCAATTAGGGTGAGGTAAAAATTTTACAAAACATAAAGGCCTATATACGCCTACAAGTAAAATGCACTTTATAAGAATCCCAATTATTGCTTTCCCCCACAAGGCTCGCAACCGCACATTTTTTTTTCACGCCCTGATCTATATTAATATTCTGATGACCCATCCACTTTTACACAGACTCATTTCACCAATTTAAATATATATATAATAATAATAATATAATATGATATATAATAATATAATATATATTACGCATCAAACTCACTAGAGATTTTTACACCAATCTCATTTAGAGTAGTTATCGGGAATGTAATGTTATATTCCCCTTCAAAACAGGAACAATTTATTTTTCGGGGTTGGGGCTGAAAATTTGATTGAATGTGTTGTCATCTGCAATGAGTATGGTTGCCAAGTTTCAGCTCAATAGGTTGGCGGAAAGTGGATCAATTAGCTGTCCGAAGCTTTTACCAACCAGCCACCCATGAATAAAGGCGAAGTTAATTTAAAAAAACAAAAAAGATGTTTCTTCTATCATTTATGGTTTGAAAGTAGCATTGTGTTAAAGTTGGTCTATATTTAATGAATGTGTGATTGTGATTTACGAGCATTGTTTTGCTCTGGCATGGCGTTTCAGTTTCATGACTCTTTGACTGTTGCCCCAACTTCTAATCATTCAGCAAATAATAATTCTTAAAATGAAGACAAATCAGACATGGTGATAGGTTGACGGGAAGTGGGTCAATTAACAGTCCGAAGATTTTGCCATCCAGCCACCAAGAAACAAAAGGGAAGTTATTATAAAGGATTTTAAAAAGGCAGGAATATTGAAATTCAACATGCATTACGGCAGCACGGGGACCTCTTTTTTTTCCGCTAATGGGGAAGGGGCTGCGGGGAGGGGCATTAAACCTTTTTAGATGACCTGGTGGGGCGTGTGGAAATAGTTTGGGAAACACTGTCGTTAGAAGGTTTAAAATTTTGTCGTGGGTTTTTCTCCCACTAAAATTTATCAAAGTGCGGCTGTTTGGTGCAGCCGAGCGAAAAAAATTAGGTGGTAGACCAAAGCTATGTGACGTCGAAAATTACCTACGTCACAGAAACTACTGCAAGTCACTAAGCTAAATATAACTTTTATAAGCTATCTTTGTACTTGTCAAAACACAAAGGAGCGTTTTGGCGATAATTACGAAACATTTTTGCAAAATTTTATGGCCTTTGAGGCCATCCACAAAGTGAGTACACAAGCATGTCAAATTTAGCCCCATCCCGTGTTATAAGTGTAGTCTTTGCACTCCCCTCTCCGTTGCGAATAGATGAGTTTTCGCCCACCCCCTCCCCTTAAAAAGAACCAACAAAATAAATGTATTTATTTATAATTTATAGAAAGTTTTGACCTCAGAGTAAAAAGATATGTGTCACAGGTTTTTAAAGGCTGCCTTTCGCTGAGCCCAGTGGTTCCCCAAATAAGTGCCACGTCACCCTGGGACAGGGCATTGCGAAAGGTGTTAGGAGAATGACCTGTCCTCCCAACCACTCCCATCCTCAAGTACCCCATACCCACTCATCTGTCCACCTTCCATATAAACCTTTTCCCTACTCCCTTCTTCAACTTCAACACCACCTACCCTACTCTTACCCCCC